TTGAAGCACAAGGAGTTCGCGTTGAACCAGGCTTGAATTTTGTGAATATCTATTTTTATCATATTTGATAGGTGATTAATTTCTTTATTACTCCATATAATAGTGGTATCGTCGGCAAATACAGTAAATCTTCCTGGGATATTAATGGTTATTAGGTCATTTAAATATATTACAAACATCAGTCCTAGAACAGACCCCTGAGGTACTCCATGTTTTATGTCAATGAGATCATACTGTCCACTTGTTTCACCACCTGTCGACGTTCTGTCAAATACGAACCAAACCAGGTCAAATTTGTTTCAAAACAATTATAATTTCCTTCAACATGATGGCCAAGTAGTTCACTTTCCAATTTGTTACAAATGGGATAAGTAACAAAAAAACAAATATGTATGATACCAATTATATTCTTTAATGTCAATACAATACTATGTTGAATACAGTAAAAAAAGCTAATTATATTTAATTAATTATTACGAATACCAAGTGCCTGTTCCAGTTCAGCTCTTTTTTGTTGTACCTTAGTATAAAAATATCTGCAGACTGCCTCTTGGGCCCATGGTTGATGAAAGAAATCTGATCTCCTTTCTTCTTCTGGATTACCAACAACATCGGTCATTGTCTAAAAATAATGAAAGTAAACTTATATTAATTTTACTATTTCGAAACAGTAGGTTCCAGATAAGCTGATTTAATTAGACATAAGTGGTCATTTTGAGGGCCAGTATTTTAAAGCTTGATCAAATAAATTTCAGTGATTATCTTTCAGTTGAGATGGTTAGTGCTTCGTGAATGACTACTTCAAAATCATAGAGTTAATCTAAATTTTATCAACTTCATTATATTTTTCAACAAATCACGATTTACAAATGAGACTGTTTAAAAGTCAAAATACTTCGGAATGGACCCAACAAAATAAAAAACAGGACAATTTTCAGGAAAGGTTTGGCTTCAATGTCTGGGCTGGTATCTTTCGAAAAAGAATTGGACCAATAGTGTTTCGATGCCAGTTAATAGGTACTTAGATTTTCTTCAAAATCTTATCTATCTTCATAATACCAGAGAACTTCTTAATTACCTATATTCATTCAACAAACAAAGCTACCCAAACAAATGTTCCTATACCCAGCCGCTTACTATTAAAAAAAAAATCTGTGTGACTGTGAGACCACGTGCACTATGCACGTGATGTTTTGGAGTATTCCATTGCTCAGATGGACAGAGTATAATAGATAATTTTAATAATCAAGTTATTGCAATCATTGGTCAAGTACTCTGGCCAGATCTCTCTGTGTTTACTATGCAACAGTGTTGATATCTTAGAAGAAAGATTTGTACGAACATTTAGAGCTATAAAACCTCAAATGATATTACACATGCCGAGAGAGAAAAAATTGAACAAGCTGAAATGTGTCTCAAAACGCGTAATTGTGCATACACATACTCCAACAAATATTCTTATATGGTTAATCTAAAAAATTCGACCAGAAGTGGCATGCTTTATTCGTTCTTGCGCCTGATAACAAAATGAAAAATGTCGTATATTACATGCAATTTCCAATTAGATTTGCATTTGCAATGACTATTAATATGACATATGATTGTCTGTGTTAACAATTACATGTGGCATGCTCTCGAGTGGGCAAATTATCCAGTTTGTTTGTGTTCGCTAACCATAAACGAAAAATATTCTACACACTATCCCATTAAGGGATTGATATTATTCATTAATAATGAATAATTTATGTGGCTGGGTCAGCTAGTTTTTAATAAATCTGAATAATGTACTTTTACATAAGAGCATTGCTCAAGTTATAGGTTAATACTGTTAGACTTGTCCATGTTGAAAAACTTGTTGATTCTGTTATTTTTGTTGAATTTTTCAATTCATTCATGAATAAATTAGTATCGTTTGATTAATCAAAAATCCTTTTATCGGAAAGTGCATGTCAAAGAATGGTTGCCATTTGAAGAATAATAGATAAGAAAATGTGATTTTGCCAACTTATCCAGTCACTACTAGTTACTAAAACTTTTCCTTCATAATTTTCATCATTTGAGATTCTTAAATTATTTCACGTACATGGCCAACTAGATGCAATATCAAAAGTGACAAAAATCAAGTAGGCATAAAAACTTTTTGAAATGTCATACTCTGATCTGATCAAGAATTCTCTCAGTAACTCAAATATTTCAAAATATACAGAGTATTTACACCAGTATTGACTGGGAAGTGAAAAATATGAAAAAACTTCCCTTTCCTCATACTATTTACCTAGACCGAATCTAATTTTGATACACCCAATAATCTAAAGTTATGACTTGTCTAATAGATTCGTTGTATGTGAATTTTGTCGAGTAGTTATGACTAGATGATTTTAAATGACAAAAGTGACGAAGGTAATATTGTTAATCACTATTCTTTATCGAATATTGGATACTATATAAGTAGGGACTTAATTGTTCCCTTCACTTCCTCTAGGTTATAATCTCGATGGCACTTGAAAAAAATATTGTTTTTGTTTTATAACTTTGGCAACAGAATTTTTTGAAAATTTTACAAAATGTCTGCTCCTTACCTTGAGGTCTCTAGTTTGAGATACAATCCATTTATGAATAAATTGTTGTGGATCCTTAGCAAAACTCAGGAAAAATTCTCTATTTGTTTTTAGTTGGTTGATAGTGTCCACAGTTTCATGAATTTTTGAATCTAATCCTTGTATTTCTTGTTGACTCGCTGTACTCAAAAGAAAATTATTCATTTGATTCTTCAGAGTATCATAATCATCATTATCCACAATTTGAAAAAATTCTCAATTCCTTAAACCATAGTTGAAATAAAGGTAATACCAAGGCTAATTTCTAAACGACAAATTCTTGACATCTCAAAATTAAGATGAAATTATGGTCTGAGAAAAGTATTGGTGTTGATGAAATTATTACTAATTGGAGGAACTAGAAGTTTATCTTCCCTATGTGTATAAAGTAAATGAAAAAAAAAAAAATCAATGCATAGGATTGAGGATTATAACAATGTCATTTGACTATTAGCCTAACCCATTTCCAAATATAATTCTTTCAAAAAAACATTTTCGAACTTACCTATGGGTTTTTATATACTGCCACAAGGCAGATATAATAACTGGTCTAGTTTGAGTATGAACTCCTAGAAGGCGAGCTAGTCTAGGATCTAGTTTGAATTGTAAAGGCTGATAGTCCAGTAATAGGAGAATTGTGCACCTGACATTTTTATCACCTGGACGCTTTACTTGGAACCCATCAGTTTCTTGTGTTGTAAGAGTCCTGTGCCACTCTACTAGGTGATTATCAGGGCCATATAAGTCCTTATCGAGCTCGATGACCAATGATTTGAAAAATGATGAGAATTTACGTTTAACTTTATTAGGATCATTTTTGGAATCGTCCAAAAGCCTTCCTTCAACACGAAGCTCCCATGAGGCCACAGAACTGATATGAAATCATTAAAATAAACATTTATGTATGGTTGTGACACTTACCCTTCTTGACAAGGACCTTCAGGACCATCAGGCTGTGGCTCCTTGGCTGGATAGAAAGTATTTGAAATAAAAATTCGTAACTTTCTTTTCTGTTTCATGGGTCTTTTTAGAGCCTCCTGTATATCTAATCGCTTTCTCATTATTGTAGAGTCCAGTTTTCTCTCAAAAGCTAGTAAATCCATGTATGCTTGACTTTCGGGAACTAAATCCCTTACTTTCTGCGGCAAAATTTTGTCAGCCAGTTTTTTCTTTTTTTTACTACTGCTGGGAGTAGTATGTGGATAATCCCTGAAGAATGAATATGCTTTCATAGACGAATAATTTTCTTCAAAATTCACTATCAAAAAGTGGGACAAACTCCACCACTATGTGCCACAAATAGACATAAATGAATTTAAACCTAAACTCAAGATGAAATAAAAATCATAACGGATTATTTATTTATGTGAATAGGATTTGATTAAAAAAGTGTAGTTTAATTAATTTTTTCCACCTCCCTCCATTTTAAACTAACCATTACGTGTTTGACAAAAGGTAGGTAATAGCTCATTTAGAATACACATGTATTCTAAATACACGTGTATTCTACATTGGTGACTGATGAATGCCACTTCCATAAGAAATTTAATAAAATGATGAGATACGCAACATTCACTCTAATAAATATGATCTGATGAATACATTCAATTGTTCAAAAGCCAAAATCAGTGATTTTTTTCTCCAAATTCTCTATAATATCAAATATTGTTCAACAGTTTGTAGGTTGGTAATGAATCTAGTTATATCCGTGAATCAACCACCACTTGTTTTAATTATGAGTTGTCATTCAGTATCTTTTAAAAATTCAAAATGAGTGATAACGATCAAGAAATTTGTACTCCCCACCAGATACTACCGAGCAAGCAAATATTGTGATGAATATTTTGGTGCCAGGAAAATCAAAAGAAAAATAAGAATATAATTTCAAAAATTTTATGAGATGAAGAAAGGGAAAACATAACTTTGTTTTCCGAAAACGTTCTTCTCGTTTATTTCTAAGATTTAGCAAAAACTTTGAAACCATCGTCAGTATGGGGAATTTATTCCATGCTGAGAAGTATACTGAATATCAAGAAAAATGTGGACATCAGCCAATATTTCAAATTACGTGTCTCTCGAAAACGCAAATCTGATAGTTATAAATCGAAGAAATCATCGACGCTTACCACTGTACAAATAAATCAATTCAGATGGCAAATATTTGTTTTCGAAGGTAATACAACTCCGCTTTTACCTTCTATTCATTTTTCATGAACTTTTCGCAACAATTTTTGAAATACTAACACATAACATAAAGGTTAAAACTGAATTATTCAACCCCACCAGCCAACAGCCAATCATATTTCATTTGCCAGACGCCTCCAAAGCAAAGGTTACTTCCGGTAATTCTATTAATTATAACAGCCAAGCAAAAGGATTTGGAAATATTTCAGACCAAAAAATACCTGTTTGCACTTGTATTTGACATTATTATATTATTTAAAATTTTTAAATTTATTCATTCACTCACAAAGTGAATATTAATTATGTTCACTACTCATATCACAATCAGACATCACATTGTTAGTCGTCAGAGTAGCTCAGTGGTAAGGTGTGTCAGTTCTGACTGAATGAGTTTATTATCCAAACCATAATCTCAAATAAATATCGTACCATTCCTTTCTACGGTCAGTAATATAAAAAGTATAGTACGCATCTCAAAGATAAGGCCAATTACGTCCACTCGCGAATTATCGCACTCGGCTATCACCTCGTGCTTACAATTTTTCGCTCATGGGTAATTGACTTGTTATCCTAATCGGTACGTAATATACTATTATCATTTTGATTTCAACATTGGCTAAAATTATTCACTCAGGCCTCATTTTTGGACATGTATATTTTAAATATTAGTGTTGTTTGTCAAGTTTCAACTGGCAAGTATCTTTCAAGGAAAAACTCTAGTGGAATATTGGGTCAAAATGAGAAGTGAAAACATACTGATAAACAAAAATGTGTCCCACTTCCAAAAATATATGATGAATACTCTGATCTATTATCCATTACCAGTTACTGGTAACTGATGAACGGGTTTTAAATAAAATTTATTGTGAAAATTCTAGAATTATCATCATGGATAAAAATATATGTATAAAAAAAAGGGGGGGAAGAAAGGTCTGACTAGAGATACAAACCTACCTAAAGCTAGAATTATAGATTCAAGACATGAGATGTCTGTATCAATAGATAACCAGTCACAAAGGGCAGAATCATATTAGCCACAGGATATTAAGACAGAAATCTAGCAAGAGTTCTCAACAGTTTTTTCTGCTTGAAACGCTTCTGACTTATTGTTTTTATGATGAAAGTTCATGAAAAAAATCAACTCCATAGATATTTAATTACATTTGAATTTGTCAAATCATGAGCAGATTTTCTCTGAATATAAGTCATGCAAAGACTTGATAAGTTGTACCAAATATCGCAATAGGACACAAAAACCGACCTCAAGCAGGGTTATTCTGCTAATTTTGTAGCCCGGTTTCTTAACAAAAATTTCGAATTAAAAAAGTGGCTTTGGGGCAGTAGAGGTATATTGATTCATTTGACTTTCAATCAATACACAGTCAAACTGGAGGTGAAACATGCCCTCTTACGCTACACATTTTTAACGATTTTTGTTCAGGTTCAAGATATTATGTGCTTCTTATTCCAAAAAAAAAGATACTATGAAACAAAAAGTTTCTCATTTTTATGAAACAAGAGAAATAACTTGATCACATCATATTCTCCTCAATCAGAGGAATATTTATGAATGTGAACTTTTTTATTGGCATAAGTTTTTGCTTGGATATATTTACAAAAACAAACGATACTATGAAACAAGAATAGTTTTACATTTTCATGAAACAAGAGAAAATTTCATCACATCATATTGTCCTTTATCAAAGGAATATTTATGAATGTGAACTTTTTTTCTTGGCATAAGCTTCTGCATAGTTCTGATTACAAAATGAATTTTTATGTAGAGAAATATAATGATGACTACAGAGATTTATGCTCCAGATTAAAAATTACATTATTATCTAGAAAAACACAACTAAAAGGTTGAATCAATCGAGACTAGATCAAACAAAGGATACTTTTTACATAATGAGGTCTCATAATTATAATCACAGTATCCATAGCTTTCTTATTAGAATAGAACATAGTGAGATAGTTTTGGTTTCCATCTTTTGACATGAATTATCCTGTATTCATATTACACTTTATTGGGAGATTTTCACTCAACAGATTACAAAACCCAACAAGTGTTTCACTATACAATAGCTTCTTCTGTCACAATGTCTACATCATGAATGACTATTACAACCTAACGATTTCTACCTAATAACTGAATGAAGATTTCTAAACATTTACACATATACAAGGTGGTTTAGCAAGAAACAAGTTTTGATCTGGGCATTACACTACAGAAAGAGAATTTAAGTATCTTGTGTGTTACCAAACACTGTCTTGATACTATTGTCACAATTTTCAAGAACACAAAAGAAAAACGGGATTGTTTGTTGATTTAGTGGAAATGATAGATATAATTACACAGGTAAACATATTTGAAAATGTGGTGGAAAATTAACCTGTCAAATATCAGAAACTTCCAATTATAACAAAAGCGGGAATCAATTTTATTGAAAACAAAGAACAAAAATGTCCTTCAGTGCGTCTTTCCCTAACGAAGTTATCATCAAATGGGGATGACTAAAACACTCTTTCGGACTGTATTGCATACTTCATTTTGAAAATAATAAATAATGAAAATCAAAGTAATGATATGATCTTGTAAGTCCCTTCAAAACTTACGTCTTTTGTGGAACAGGGCCCCTATTTTCAGTAGCAGGCCTTTTGCTGCTTGATGGCTGAGGCATAGGCCCTGCTCTCATTGGCGAATAAGGAGAACCAGTGGGTCTTTGAATCATGGTACCGCCGCTCGACGACATGGTTGGAGGTGGTGGATTGTAACCAGGTCTTTGCTAAAAGAAAGTTTTAAAAAATATAACTACGAATATTTTAATACTCACCGGAAAATTCTGTTGGTTATACTGACGCATTCCCGAATTTTGAGGAGGTTGATATCTTTGAGGTGGAATTCCTCCAGGTCCTTGTGTTGGACCTGGCCCTGGAAACCTTTGGGCCATCTTAAAAATCTTCCTCTTTGATGCACAAGTTAAAAAATACCGTATATTATCGAACCATAATTATTCCTTTTATCAAACATCAATGGCACATCACATAGACAACATAAACAGAACAGAAAACTTGGTTTCGGTTTGTTCGTTGGTTAGAAAACACAACCGATTGAAGTAGTGTGAAACTGCTACCGATTAACGTTCGTTTCAGCTTGTCAATAATGCCAAAGAATTTACTGTGATGTAAAATCTGAATGTAGCACGGAATCATAGATTACATGGGTTGAATGTACTCTGTGACCGAACTTTCAAGTTCAGTGAGATTTACTCAAAATTCAAAAAATACTCGGTTTTTTCTCCCATTTTTGATTGGCTAATAGCTCATAGTCTTTTGTTACTCTGGCGGTTGGTTTAGTTGATAATCGGAAAATTAATATTGAATTACGATGAGCCCCTTGCCGGTCAGTGTCGTCCCTATAATCATTTTTAATTAGGATAGCAAATGGAACATGGCTTCTTTGTAATTTTTTTTCACATTTTATTCAGTATCATAGGTAGTAGTACAGTTCATTAAAATATTATACAATGATACACGTGTTAAGAATCATACGTTGAAAGGTAAGACCTCGTTAGTCTTTAGCTTGCACATGTTTCGACTTCTGAGGGTTGTCGTTCGTAGGGGTGCGATAGCTGGTATTGATAAATGTTTTTTTGTTAGTCAATGACATTTTTTCAGAAACAACACAAATTATTCTGACAATGCCAAACGCCAACAGCATTGAAGGACAAGTAATGATACGCCTCTGTATAGAACATTTGTATGTCTTGCAAGAGCTGTAGTGGGAGTTACATAGAAAATGAGTCCGTGCGTATGGGAGTGGGCTCGCCATCGCGTTTGGCGCTTGCTGTATTTTGTATAGGCCTTTTCATCATAAGACGAGCGCAAGCGTAGCCGTTATATTGAAATGGCGGTAGTTCAAAACATTCGTACTGCTTTAATCAACAATGGCTGGGCAAGGAATATTATCTCTACAAACAAATACATTATTGGAAAAAACCACTGATGGTGCTTCACTTGTTTATAATTCAGTCGAGGCTCATAATTGTGAACAATTAAAAAGGTGGTTAAACGTCATAGGCGTCCGCAAAAAGGAAAAAAAGTGAGCTGATTGAGAGGTTAGGTATCAGCATTTGTTTACTATCTGAAAATATATTAAAAAAATAGTATTTACAGTTTTATTCTTATTAATATTGTCAACTTATTTGATGTAATTGAAAATATATTTCAGTTGACAAGAGTATTACTTATGCAANTACAAAAAACCGTACGAAAAAGATGGCTGATACTGACGCATGCGCAAAAAAATTGTGATGAAAAGGCCCATTTTTAACAATTGACATATATAAAAAATACTAAATACATTTATTTAAAATAACCAGCTGTTTGATTCTCAAAAATTGCTTACATTAGTAAATTTATTGATTACTGATAAATAATAATATTTATTCACCATTTGCGATACATAGCGTATACCTATGTGGTAAGTCGAAAATGATGAATTAAATAAAATAAAACATGCACGTTTCACAGTTCGTCACTAAATGAGGTAAACAATTGCGTTTAGTTGTTTTTTAAAAAGGTTTTGCGATGGATACGCGTTTTAATGGTATTTTAGGTAGCTCAATAAATTCCTGAAATCATTTGAAAAATAAGAAGTTCCTAGTGCTGCTCTGCTGCTTCCATATGTTGTGCTGGTAATGTGAATATTATCTTTCCCAGCACGCGTGATCTATGTGTAGGAATGTCTTTGTTGAAAATTATAAACGCCTAAAAGTATTTTATCGACTTTTTTTGGGTATTTTCACCTTTCACAATCTGAAAAATATGACAGTTATAATGGAAAACTTCATGCAAGTGTAGAAAGGGCAAACTTTTTTAGTTTACCCCGATATAAGTTACTGCGTAAAATCAAAGTATTTTTCACAAAAAAATGTGGAAGATACAATGCGGTACGCGAAGCGATCTATTAAGACGATAGACATTCGAATAATAGTTGAAGTGTTTATTACATTTAAAATAAAGTTAAGTTTGATTATTCAGTGAAGGTCAACCCGCGGGAAAAAACGTAAGAGTATTTTCACCTAACGCAATCTGAAAATTGTAATGAAGAACTTTATGCAAGTGTGGAAAGGGTAAACTTTTCAGTTCACCCAGATAAGATACTGCGTAAATTCGAAGTATTTTTCACAGACAAAAATGTTTCATTCATCAGTACCTTGTCGTATCTAATAACTTTGCCTGTCAAAAACGAACTAAGAAATTATATACTTATCTTAACGTTTCGGAGGCTAAAATCTGCCTCCTTCTTCAGAATTCGAAAAATATAAGTATGTTAGCAGTCTTTCCTTCGCTGGATCTCTTCATTTCTAAACTTCTTTTTTTTTAAGATTCCCACATTTTTTTGTATGAAACTTTTCTTTCCCAAAAATTATTCTCTCCTTACAGTATGTCCCTTTCAATTTATGTCAAAGGAGTTTTGAAATGTGAAGTATGCCAGTGTTATTGGTCAACTTCTGAAACATTCAATGTAGTACAAGGTGTTCTCTGATATAAGTTTGTTGCTATTTCGCCACTAACCATATTTTTCTTCAAAACTGATAGCCAAGTGCAATCCATTTCTAAGGAGCTGTTCGAAATACACTTCTCTTCAGATATAAGAATATACACTAATTATTTGAGTTTACGTCTCTTAGAGTTGGTTCATTGGCAATCAATGTAGTTTTTTTTCCATTCAACTCAATATTCACCGTCTGATTTTACATAATCTCGATGCTCATTCTCACGCACTTTTGATGGTCTCAAAATTGTACCTATATTATTTTTACCAAAAGAACAAGGTATCTTATGAATGCAAATTGCTGTTTGGTTTTGTATGTGTAAGTATATAGATTGTATTTAATGTTTTATAAGAATTTCTAACATCATACCTATTCCCAATTCACAGATATAAGAATATACACTAATTATTTGAGTTTACGTCTCTTAGAGTTGGTTCATTGGCAATCAATGTAGGTTTTTTTCCATTCAACTCAATATTCACCGTCTGATTTTACATAATCTCGATGCTCATTCTCACGCACTTTTGATGGTCTCAAAATTGTACCTATATTATTTTTACCAAAAGAACAAGGTATCTTATGAATGCAAATTGCTGTTTGGTTTTGTATGTGTAAGTATATAGATTGTATTTAATGTTTTATAAGAATTTCTAACATCATACCTATTCCCAATTCATCTTATGTTTTCAGATAGTCCTGTAATGTAAGGTATAACGTTAGTTGTGAGGTTGATGAGTCGGTAATTTTGTTGAGTTGGTAGCTTTTGAGTTTGTGATGCTGTTTGAAGGTAATTTGGTTTTTACATGACTGTTTTTTCCATTGCATTTATTGTTAATCTACGAACAAATCTGGATCTGGTCTAGGCAAGGGTAACAAGAAACAATCTGCCTACTTCCAAGCGATGAATGGGGTAATGGGGATCCTCAATCTCTGGTCTGGTATTCATATTTCTGACAGATGGAGGGATACCGGTAGTGAGTGGGAGGGTAGGGTTGATAGTGGGAACGGAAGTATGACTTGCAGAAGCGTTGGGTGTAATGTGACATGTGTGACGGCACAGTAATGATTTCCATGAATGCGATAATCTTTGTTGAGGCAGTTGGGATGTCTTTCGATATCAATAGCTTCGCGGATTATCCTGACATGGAAAGTTTTTATGGTAGCAATGGTTTTGATCCAAAAACAAACACTTTTCCCAATCACCAACTTCCATACTCTTCTCGACGTCCGTTTCACCAACGAAGTTTGCGTCTTTATCAGAGTATTGAAGTTTTGGTGATTGAGAAAAGTGCTTGTTTTTGGATTCATTCTACGTCAGAGATTTCACATTTCAAAATGGTTCTGGTGCTTTCCAATAATGATGAATTATCAGTAATAATCGAAAATCACTTCAACTACTAATCAACAATAATAAAAAAAAAACAATACTTAGAAAGCATTGGATACCTAAATTTCGATAACTGAAAAGCCTTCTCCTTGAGAGCAATTGAAACTAAGGGACGTAACGATCCATTTCTCATCAATAACGCCAGGAGTACGTTTTCGTAGGGTTTAAAAATTCGACATTTTCAATTTTGTACTATGAAAAAATTTAAGTTTCATTTGCAATTCTAAGCAGTTTTCACCGCAAAATATTTTAAATCTGAGACATACCTAGGTATGTGTTCCCTACTATTGAAAATACTTCTACCACGCCAAACAATAATAATACTGCTTCTCAACACACGTTCTCCTAACCGAGTTAGTATAATCAGATGACAAAAACTGCATGATGATTGTAGGTTTACTGTTAATTCATAACAAACTGTTTCTGTGTAATGAGAAAGGAATGCTTCATCTATTACGTAAAACCAATGTTGAATAGATATCAGGGTGAATAACTAGATATATGCACCATTTCCCATTTCCATACATTAAATTAAGATGGAGTCATTGTGAGAATACATAACACATTTTTCACTTGTCAATGTTGGCTGGTGATAATTTTATTTATGATGCTCCATTTTGATCAATTTTATGGTTTCTTGGTTATTCTCTAGTTTGTATTATTTCAAAAACAGCATCAAGAAGATAGTACCTACTAATCATTTTTGAACCCAAAAACTTTGTAAACTTTAAAATGTTGATAATGAGGATATATTTATTATGTTTTTTATTTTAAACAAATCCTTTCAACTTTTTGTGTGTAAGACAATGTATTGCTTCATCAGGCAATAATTTCTAAGATTTTCTTGGGAGGTGTGGTTGTTTTCGTGGTTCATAACTAGTATTTATATGACTTCAAAAACTAGCTTCTCATTTATTTGGAGCCCAAAGTCATAAACTAATTTTTTCCAATGTGAAATTTTTGATGAGTAAAAATAGCAGTATTTGAAGACCATTCAAATTTTTTAGACTACCTATATTGTGTGGTTGTGGAATTGGCCGCGGTGGTAGTGCGCCCGACTCACGATCGGAAGATCGTGGGTTCGATTCCTGCCTGGACCAGATATTTTTCTCCAGAGAATTTATCGGGTTGAAGCTGGAATGATTCTGCAACCGTGTTAGGAATCACACGTTAAAAGGTAACACCTCGTTAGTCCTTAGCTCGCACAAGTTTCTCAACTTCTGAGAGTTGTCGTTCGTATGGGGGCGACAGCTGATTAACGGAAAAACAGATTTTTTAAACAGATCTTAATATTATTTTTCAATCCCTTGGTTTCAAATCTGACGAATTTGTAGCTTACCTACTCTAGACTTCCACAATTTGTTATACGATTACATACAGTCGTATTTATCTTATACACTAACCACCAGATTTTATTAGAAGTTTATTGGTTGTATAAGAATAAAATTCACTTTCTTCTCTTTAATGTATTTGTGACATCAAAATAATTTGTATTTGGAAGTACTATGTGGAATTCATTTTACAATATACACATCAATTGATTAGAAAATATAAGAAATGACGTACGCATACAAACCTATTTTTAGCGAGTTTTTCTCAAGACTTTTCATTTCCTACGTTCAAATTAATAAGTAATATAAGATGTGAATGTTTTCTACATAATATATAACATTTTTGTGAGATAATTGTTTTCCTTCTGTTAAATCTATGAACGACTCTTCACAAACGTGCGGATCCTAGCCTTCTGGTGATTCGTTTTCCAATTCCATAAAATCTGTCAACATTCTATAACCTTGATTAGTATCAAAATCTCATCCGTTTGCATCTTCTGACTATAGAACTGTGCATTTGAAGTTTTTTGTAAAATTATGGACAAAACTTCTTATTTTATTAATTATCTATTGATTGACGATTTTTTGATGGAGTAAGATACATTTTTAACACTCTTTTCAAATATCGATATTGTCCTTTGAATAATTCATATTATTGACTGATATTAATTTCTAACTATAGTTTTTAATTTTTCGGGTTTATAAGACAAATTACAATCTAAATTAGAAAGCACATATCGCTAGGGTCACAGCGTTTCGTGTAGGGATTGAAACACTTTGGAAATACTGTTTAGGAATTTCAAGGAAGTTCAATTTACATGATGACTTGTCATCATGTAAATTGAAATTCACCTTTTATCTTCATATAATGAATGATCTGTTCCTGAATAATTTGCTTTAAATGTATTAGAAGATAATAAAAACGATATTATTATTATTATTAACTACGCTCTACAACAAAATTTCAATCTGATTTAATGATTTTGATAATGAAAAAGTATTGTGGAAAATATCATTTATTAAAAATTAAATACATTTGTTTCTTTTTTTACTACTCAACTATCAGCACAAATGTACAATGAAATTGGTTCATGAAATGAAACACTGTACAAAATCGATAGTTTTGTCTGAAAAATATCTTTGGCAACTTGTCTCTTTGTTTTTTTACAAACTATAAATACACAATTATGTTATATATTTCAAAAATAACAAGTATAATATCTTTGGCATTTGTATACAATTAATTTATACAAACTATTTCTGAATATTACTCAATAAGCTTGACCAACTATCACTGATTTTCTTATTTCTTCAACACATACACAGGATTTGTTCAATATTTTTTATACAATTTGTATGATTATGATATGCCAAATAAATAAAATGGTATACTATTTATATTCACACTATAACATTCAAAAATACATATATTGCACATACAAAAAAGGAAATGGCATGAATATGCTTGAAAAATAACGTGCATATTCAATAAACTATATATTGATGAAAACTAATCAGCTTCCAATAAACAATTCATAAATATTGATTATCCTAAGGATAACTTCAACAATAAAGCTAAACTAACTTACGAGATCAAAACAAAATTTAAATAAAGTCTAGGTAGCTGCTGATGAAAATTTGGGTTTGGTGAAAGTACTATTTACATGATTCTATCAAAATTGTCTGCCATGCACAGAAACTGGTACGACTATCAGCCAAATTTTGTCTATACATGTATATAAAAATATCGAATTACAAAATAATCACATACATTTATAAGCAGTAAATCAAAGTGCCAATGAACTTGTAGCAACTTCATTTACAAAATATGTGAGAAAAATCATAAAATGTATCAGATGTGCGGATAATTTCCCGAGTTGGTTCTAAGAATTCTTAGCTCCAGAAATTTTTATAACGAATACATACTTTAGTATAAAATAAAAAATATTTTTACAATTTCAGTTCATTTGAAAAAAAAAATGGTATTGACTTTGTAGTTAACAAATAACTACTAATAACTTCTTCAATAGAAACATATTTACGAAGTTTTGACAACTATCTATTTTAATCTATGACAAATCAATGAACCATCTCACACACATTGTTTTTTATATTTTGTTTCTTCTAAACACTTTATACTGGGCGATAATGACTGTGATGATGCGATACCACAACTTCTTTCACACATATCAGGCTTTGAATATTGACTTTGTAGTTAACAAATAACTACTAATAACTTCTTCAATAGAAACATATTTACGAAGTTTTGACAACTATCTATATTAATCTATGACAAATCAATGAACCATCTCACACACATTGTTTTTTATATTTTGTTTCTTCTAAACACTTTATACTGGGCGATAATGACTGTGATGATGTGATACCACAACTTCTTTCACACATATTAGGCTTTGAATATTTCAGAGACAAAAGATAACATGTAAAATTCGAGGGGGTTATTAATATCATGATCCACAAGAAATAATGTATATTTCTGAAGTCATCTATTTTTTTTTTAAATAGCAGATTATATAATGATTTTCCAAACATTTTTGTACAGAGTTGGCCAAAATTGGACACGTTTAAAGGGAAACTCCTGTTTTCAATATCTATATAGATGGCTGTGTTTGACGGTCAAATTTTATGATAAATCTAATGGTGAAAATCGTATATTGATATACGGCATGTGTTTTGAAAATATGTATTTTCGAAAAGTTGCAGTAACTTTTTTCCTGTCAAAATTTCTTGTTTCTATGAAAACATTTCCAAAGCACTTTTTTACGTAGAATTAAATGATGTAAAAATAGTTATTGACGAAAAACTTTTTTAAATGAGACACCCTGTATATTCCTGCATATTTCAATAGAGCCTAAAGTAACCTTTCCATAAATGTAGCACACTTGATGTTTTGTTAGAGTCATCTTTAAAATACNTTTGGTCAGGTATCTGACTGGCTAGATTTTTGATAATTTGGTATATAGGAAAAGTAATTAATACCAGATGGTTTTCACTTTAGCTGAAAGGATGAAAATTATTATTCTTTTTTGGATAAAAAATGCAAATGCCAAAGTACTGCTGCATTTGATAGAGCACCAAGAAAAGCACGAAACATACAAATAGATGTGCAGATCAGTGGAACAAATTTGGACACAAAAACCCTTGGTCTCAGTAAAAATATCAATGGATTTGCTAACTGATATAACTGTCAGTAAGGGAATGATGAACCTTCACAAATCTCAATAAAATGAATTGATGGGGTTGTATTCATTGATGGAGGTTTGAGTGGTGCAAAGCATCTCGATTTGATGAAAAAATGTTACTTAACAGTGAAATCTACTGGTTGAATGAGGTAATTTCTGAATTGGATGAAACCAGAGATTTAATACCAAGCACTTGTCATTCAACAGCTGAATTAAAAAAAACTGTTATTAATATGATTATGTGATATTTACAGTATACAAAATACTACCGACATTTGAGGTGTAGAAAAACTGAATGATTCACAAATGCCATTAAATATGACCTGTTACTTTTCAAACGGATCAACTGTAATTTGAAAACAGCCTACACCATTGCATGGGAGTAAAAAGAAGCATCCCAAACAACTAGTTTGACTGAATATTCAAGAATATTATTCGTTACACTTGAAAGATCTATGCCGATTTCAAATAATTGTGATCAGCAAAAAAAAATTGATCTGAGAAAAGTATTTTCACAACAAAATATAATTAGATCTATGTGATGTAATTGGCCGACACTTGATAAAAATCCATGACGTATTCTAGTAACACTTCATTATAAGATTTTCACAGGACAGTTTACAAAACTGAATAAGTGTTTCGCTATACAATAGCTTTTCTAAGTGTTTTCATATATGTATGAAAGAGTTGACCATTAGAAAAACCTTTCAAAGAAGGTTTATAACATTAAAAAATAGGAATGTCTCTGAGGATGAGAAGGGGGTTGAACAAGTATTTCTTGTGGGTCAAAACAAAAATCTTATCTTGGTAAATCTTTTGCTAATTTGTCTATGAAATATTAGGGTGGATCAAGCAGCATAAACAAAAAAAATTGGCTAATTTTGGACAAAATTAGGCATGATTGTACTTTATGGGATACTCACGGATTTTCACGATTTTTTCTGTGATGATACTGATGGTAGGATATCAGAATTTTACCTTTTTTTTAGCAATAAACAAAATCACGGATTTTCGCGTTTTTTTTTGTGGTGATACTACATGATGGTAGGAATTTAGAACAGTTTTTATTTTTAGACGGATTCAATTAGTTTTCAGGATATGGCCTGTCAAACTTTGTATGATGTCATACTTTACTTTTTTTTTTACAGCAATGAACAATTGCCATTCACTAATTTTCTATTTACACATCTTCCATATCATCGCACCTGAATTTCTACCATCATGTGGTATCACCATAGGAAAAATCGCGGAAATCCGTGAGAACCCTGTAAATTTTTTTTGGAAATTTTTAAATGTCGAAGTCAATACATTTCATACACAGAAAGCGGCTATAATTTTTTGGTTCGGTTGTTCTCTTTGTCTTAATGTTTAAAATGTCAGTGCAGAAAAAAAGGCTTCAATTTGATACTTTGACAGGCTATAAGTATCTCGAAAACTAATGGAGTCCAACTAAAAAAAAAAGTTCTGAATTCCTACCATCATGTAGTATCATCCCAGAAAAAATTGCAAAAATCTGTGAGTATCCCATGAAGTAAAATTTTTCCCAAAATTACAAGAATATTGGGTATGACACATCTGATAAGGTTGGTAATAGATCTCTACCATATGCTGATAGCTTTACCAGATTTGTGATATTTACGGATTCTAAGAAAACCTACCTTATTGAGTAATTTCTGCAATTATATTCTTAATCAAAGTTTAGTTTCGATGTCTCAATCACTCAATGAATTGTTGTAATGTATTGTTGAGTTGTGTCTGGTTTTCCTTATTCCTTCTTCTACAGTCATTCTAGGATTTATTGATTGTGAGAGAGCTGTTGTTTTCTGGAAATCTATGGTCGCATAGCTCTTTTTTTCAACTGTAGGAGTCTCTGGAGCAGCAAGAGGAACTACAGATTCTTTCGCATTCAAATCTAATTCTGCATAGTTCACTTCTCGAATACCAATGTTCTCCAAGTCACAATAAAGAGTTGTTGGAGTTGGAGGTATACTTGCAGGTAGTGGACGTAAGGTTTCAATATCGCTATTATCAATATTTGCATAACAATGTCTTTCTTCAACTTCTTCTGCTAAGTCATGTAAATCTTTGGTACAATTTGTATCTACGTTCATATAAACATGGCAAGAACTTTCTAGAGTAGGCTCACTGGGGGCCATGTTCGCATACTGAAACTGAATTGATCCGTTTTCAACAACACTAGTATTAGTGTAGGATGGTTCAGGAACTAAACTACTCCTTTTGTTGTTATTATGTTCGACAGGAAGATCAGGAGGAGGTGATATTGCTGTAGGACTTAAAGGTCCATTGCTGCTTACCGAACCAGGCCTACTTATCATTGTAAATGGCCGTGTAGGTGCAGGTGCTACAATGGGGTTTAAATATCCTTCAGTCTGAAAAACAGTATTAGGCCGTCGCGTAATGATGGGAGGGCCATTTGTTGAAAATTCTGCAGTACTACTAACATTGACTTCGTCATTGATGTTACCTGTTATGTGATGTTGGACAATGTTGAATAGTTGTTCTGCTTTTTTACATTTGAAAGCGTATATACCGTGACCAGTAGGACACCTTCTGCCACATTCAAAACTGAACACTTCGGTATCAAACCCATACTTGCGGAGTGACCTCAAAGGCCACTTGGTTGGCTTTTTGCCTCTTTGGTAAAATACTAGCTCCGTTTCAGTGACCTGTAATTTTCCAGGGCTGATAGGCCTTCCCAGGTCATTTACGTTTGTTACTTGAAAGATATTCGGGTGTCGGTCGTTTATATCTGTTTTACTGCTAACACAGCCCATGATTTTTCAGCTGGAACTGAAATGAAATATGTAAACAATAATGCCAAGGTTACATTCGAGATTGGTTTCTTACTTGGGTCTTATTTTGGTAATTTCGTTGGCTTTCGCATTATTTTGTTTTCTAAAGAGTCAAAAGTTTTGAACTATGTTTTACCGTGTCTGATAATCATTTTAATTTCAAAGAGCAAACTTTATCCTTTATCACAATAATTATATTTTTTGTGATGAATGATGACTGTTGACAGCAAATAGTACACCAGTTAGTTGGTGTACTCTTTGGTTGACAGAACCTGAGCCAGCGTTGCCAGATAATTAAAACTTACCTATCATAAGCCTATATTTCATTGGTATATAAGAGAAATTATAGGGAAGGAATGTATCTTTGTATTCGTGGAAGATGTATGTATTCGTTTCTATGAGATCCATCAATATAATGGTTGTTTTTTCCATATGAAACCACAGGTTAAGGCTATGACACCTTTCTCTACGAAGACGTCATCTTCGAATAACAAAGATAACCGAGGCTTATCTTTTATCGAAACCTTAACTTTTTGGTTTGTCCTTTTAACACGTAAAGTGCCTTGGTGGGTCAACGATGTCCACCACTTGAGGGGAAAAATATCTACACTGGCCGCGGTGGGTCGATGTTATCCACTATGCACTTTGTAACTTCTGACCGGAATGGGTCACCGTCGTCAACCAGAGTCACTCTAAATATGCAAGGAACGAACTAAGATGTATTTAGCAAGATTTTGATGTATTTGGTTTTTATACTGGTGGTTAACATTGTTCGCCAGAGTCAAAATATCAGTACCAAATAATTTTGGTTTGAGGTAACTGTAACTAATTTTTGAGCGTCAATAATCAAATAGCTCTTGCAACAAATATCATAAAAACAAAAAGCTAAGTGAACATTTTCATTTATTTTAATTTTGAACTGTGTACTTCAAAAAAACATTCTAAGCAAACATGTTTGATGCACTCTTCACAACGATATTTTGACTTCTTTGTTTTATTCTTTGCCGAATTTTTTTCCATTCTCGTCACGTTTTTGTTATAACAGAGAGAACACACCTGTCTTTTATTGGCTTCAAATAATTTGTGATCAGTTTCAGAATCGGGCAAATTATCAGGGAATATATCACGTTTTAGGAGACCTGTAAATTTGTCATACATATCATTATAAATGTAGATAAATCACTAAGGGGGAAATATCTCCTAACCTTCTATAACCTCCTCTCGGAATTTAGTAATCGAAATTTTATTGTTTGTGACCCGCTGATGAAGCCAATGAGAATTGACAATTGCTGCACCATTACCAACTCTATGGCAATTTTCCGGTACCATTTGACCCCACGCCTGAGCCAATAGTTATTGGCCTTCATTTGACCTGAAAATTTTAATAGTTACAAAACGAAATATAATTTATAAATATTACTTACCCGAAATATCAATTTAGCTTCTGTTTATTGTACTCAATGACAGACTTAGGCTTCATAATGCCTCCTTTTCGTTTATGAACAGTAACCATTTCCAGTATATACTTTGTAGTAATCATAAGGATATCTCGTTTATTTTTCCATTTTTCAATAAAAATTCCGTTGTTACTTTCCTTTGAAATAGCTTCACCCTTTTTAAGTTTTTTATTGATTACATCTTTGGGATTCTTCTTTTTATTGCTACGTAGTGTACCTATGTAAGTTTCATTCAACAACAATTCTTGAGCTATTTCCACAGATGTATAGTAGTTATCAATACCAACTGTGCGTCCTTTACCAAGTAATTCCTTGGTCAAATCCGTAACCACTTTGATTTTCAACTTCATCTCTTATCTGTTCACACAGACCTTAAAATCATATAAATATCCACCCTCTAGACATAATTTAAATAATTTTATACCGAATTTGTACCTTTTATTGCTGATGTATTGTTTAAATTTTATTGGCCCCTTAAAGGGAACTAGGGTTTTAGTTTCGATAAAAGTGGACTTATTTTATGCAGCCCATTGTCGTTCTCTAACAACTTCGTTGTTAGCAAAATGCCAGGTTTTCAGAAGTAATTGGAAACGGTTTCTTAGCATTACCTGAGAAAGTCCAGTTCTGTAAATGACGCTTTTTGACCAGTATGAACATATTTTCTCTTATGCAGCATATCGATTTGTTTCATTTACGAGTAACACAAATATATCATCAGAAATTACATATTTATAAAAGTCATATGGGGTTTTTTGATAATCATCATATAAAAAATTATGAATTCCTGGATTGTTTTCAGAGAATATGAAGTGTTTCATACTATTTCCGGTAACGGGTCCTCAATCCACCCTGCCTAACACTTCTTCAGCTGGCAAATTTTCGCTAGAATCAGATTCGAGAAAAACCGTGTTCTGCGCAATTACTTACTCAATAGTTCTCTCAATCTCATTCTCCTGTACTTTAGGATCAAAGTTATTAGGTTCATTACCAGGAGTAATTTGGAGTTCCACTTTTAACGGTCTTCGTACTGCTTCAAATGTCTGGGGATGGAAACTAGTGGATGCCATGCCCTTGCTTTGAACTGCTCGTCGAATTTTTTTGTTACTACGAACTCATTGGAGTCCGAATTTGAGTCACTTGGTTCATATTCGGAAACATCTGATGAAAAATACGACACATCAGATAGCACATCATTCCACAATTTTCCAAGTATTTCCTGATTTTTTTCGTAAGACTTTTTTTTTAATCCACTAAATTTACTTATACCAAACGATTACAACTTGTAAATGCATATAAAACGACTTATTGCAACTACTACGCCGCCTAAACTAAGCAAGAATTGACGTGAATACAACAGCTGATGTCGCCCACACATGCCCACCGTGGTCACAGTGAAAGTTCGAGTGGTTAAAGCCGCGGTGGGTTAATGGTGTTTACCAATTTTTTTTCGCATTTTTCCAAAAATAAGTAAATTTTGGGGTAACTATTTACCTTTTCTTTACGTATATGCATTTTAACATTTATACCTAAAAAAAAAATTGTGGCCAGTAGGGACTGCCAAAATGTATTCTCGTGGTGACACCCTACGTAAGAACAGTTCAGTGGTTCAGCCTAGCATCAGTGATGGGTCGAAACAGCTCTGTCTAGTGTTAGTCTTGAAACAAAAATTGGTAAAATAACGAATTTTCATGAACATTATATCAGAAGGAACAACACCGAAGAAAACCAGTTTCGTTATTTCATTTAAAAGTTATCTTGTAAAACGATACTTATCTGTACAACTGGCAACGCTGACTTGCTTTCCGTTTTTAAGACTTTCTGATTTCTTTGCTCAGGCGTTGATGAAGGAAAATTGTGTACTGCAAATTTTCTCAAAATTATTGATATGTATTGAAAGAAGATATTGACAAACTGAACGAAAAAAACATTCAAATAATTTTTGAGAAGGAAGCCTTTTAAATTATCTCGTTAGTTTGGAATTACTTTCAATGATACTAATTGACACTAATTTAAGTAATTAAAACAGTTTCAGTTATCAACAAAGCGTTGAATTCTTAGTAAACCAAATATTAATGAATAATGTGGAAAGTAAATGCTTGCATAGACAACAGACGAACATTTTTAGAGAGTATGAGTAGGTATAGTCTGTATTTTTTTTTGACAACATTGGGATCTAGGTATTTTTTTTCAAATATGGTATATTTTTGATGTTGATGAGTCTACGTTGGTTTTATTAAATTGTTCTTCTTTATCTTGAAATGTTGTGAAGTCAGTCAACTGAACTAAATTATATATCTGAGGTAATCTGAAAAAGATTTATATATGTAGGTGAGGTCGAGCCAACTTAGTTACAATTACAAAATTATCAGATTTGTTTAAAAACGGCATGTGATCACCAGAATAAGTTTGGCCAACTTACCCACCATACCCAAAACATATGAAGATTGATGAGGCCACCTTTATATCGGCCAGAAAAATAGTAAGCTGTGAAACTAATGTTATGCTCTTAAAATTGGAAAAAGCGTATTTTGAGGGGCGCATTATATTAAGCATATCAAGGACGTATCGCTGGGTAAGAGACCATTGCATGAAGACTATTATGTACAGCCCAGTACGCTAGGTCCATTGTGATTTAGATCGAGTAACCCGTTCATTCTTGTCCAGACCAACCAACATTGAGTTAAAATTTCGTTAATTTGATATCAATTATCTTGTATTAAATGGATAGGACAAAAATACATTTAATTCGAATACAATCTGGTCGAAAATGTTGCCATTACCATAAGTCTGTACGTGATAGTAATTCACGCAACAAGTCCGGAAAATACTGTTTTTTTTTTGACGAGTAGACAAATCAAGTCTCATTTGAATTGAGTATTGAAATTCGAATAGAACATAGGTACTAACAGTAACATTCTAATTCAAATCTATTTATATGAACATTCGAGCCATTCCTAATATTGAAGGGTTAGGTTATGTCCAAAAAGAGTGGGTCTATTCGACCCTTCACCGCAACCCGCAAGGGTTTATTGTGGCTGACACACACTCGACCAAATAAACCCAGTCTTAACGAAGCCGATTAGTTTGCATGGTGAGTGGTCTTTCAGATAAGATGGTAAGAGTACGGCTCTGCCGAACTCTAAAAACCTGATTTGGTCCCCAGCGGGGCAGGCACAAAGTATATGCTCTGCTGTTTCATTGTTAATGAGGTAGTCAGATAGTCAAAGTACAAGATTACCACCTTGATACCCGCAACGACTATATATCCCATATGAGGGTTTTTGCACGTCAGCTACACCTGACGATGCCTTAGATTCAACCGTGCAAGTTTTTTCGCCTCTGGTTTTGGTAAATCTTCACTTGAGCGCAAACGTTTGCTAACTTGCTCATGGGGGGTTGTTCTTCCACCTGAGACAGATTCTGCGTTCACCGCTCAAGAATTTGGTGCAAGGCGGTTTCATAAGGTACCCCGCTCTTGAGGAGACGACTCAGTCGTTTGCTGGCTGCACCACTAAACCTTTTTTTCAGGTTCGGTTATTGGATCAGGAGTTGGAGAGTTGAGAAGCTCTCGCTGCTGATCTAAATTTACAGGGAGGTCAGTTGGAGTCGTGAGCTCGACATCCATCTCCTCTGTAGACTCAGCGTTAGAAAGAATTTTTAAGTTTACTCTGTCCATAAAAGTCCCACGAGTAGCTAGGGAAAGAAAATCAATTACGGCAGAGCCCCGCATTACCGCGACAAGGCGATGCTACGATGAGAGGGCGCCCGGTATCTCGAAGGTTC